GCTTGCTTGCTTGCTTGCTTGCTTGCTTGCTTGCTTGCTTGCTTGCTTGCTCTCGTGTGTTGATTTGTTTGTTGGTTGGTTGGTTTGTTTTTTTGTTCGTTCTGCAACTAGTGTATTCCCATTTGTTCCAGATGTCTATCCAGCTAGTTCACACTGAACAAACATACAGATTATATAACATATGCAGTGGAGCCAAGCGGATGGATGCACTTTGGGCTTTTGTTTTTTTCAACTTTTGCCCTTGAGGCACAGACTTTTGGTTCAACAGGCCGCGTTGCTGAAATGTCGAATGAGCTTGGGGTTGAGCAGTACTGCGAGCAACACCTACAGGACAACACCTGTATGGCCATCAAGGCAGCCATTGGTGCCTCCCTTGAGCTCAAGAAACGTGGTGTCAAACCGCGGTTTGCAAACTTTGCTCTCACGCGCTGGGGCAAATATCCATCATGGACCAAAGGATCTGTAACGGTGACGGAGCCAGATGCTCCAAACAAACCTGCAGTAGCACAGGTGCATGATGCAGCTGGCGTGGTGGGCTATGGGGTTTGCAACATTTTGCGGACCATTTTGACTCATAGTGTCAACCAATATGGAACGGGGACTTGTGGCAGCGTAGCTCCCCTTGCCGCCTTGAGCTGGTCGGCCCCCGCCCAAGCAATCAAGATGAGTTTGCGACTCTTCTGGGTTGGCACAATGCACAAGTCATTCAAGGTTTGTGACAACATCTACGATCTTCAGCCTGGTTTGGTGCCCTTGTCCAATGATAAGGTCGACGTTGCTGTGGGCAGGAAGATGAAGCATATGCAACCCACAAAGATTGAGCATCTTTGCCAAGAGAAATGCGACCAGCTCGAGGCAGTGAAAGAAGGCAAGTCTTTTCCCATGATGTCTGCAGGGCTTACGGCCATGTGGACCTATGCATCCTTGAGCCACTTGAAAGAGGCGCCGAAAGGCTGCCCTGCCCCAACAGACTCTGTCTTGCAAGTAATGTACCCCGACATGATTCAGGAAGAACCAACCAAGATGGAAGCCTTCTTCGACAAGGAGCCCACATCAATGCAGTGGTATTTGGGTCCTGACGGCAGGAAAATGTTGTATCATGATGATCCTGCGCATGATGACAATCTGAACCTTTGCAAGCAATTCATCAGCCCGAACTGCGTGCGGGTCAAGGACGTTCCAGTGGTTGATTACCAAGAAAACGAAGATCAATTGAACAAGGCCTGTGCCGCTTTGAAAGCTGGAGGTGCTTCCATTCTAAGTGTCGCGGGAAGTACTGGGTTGAGCTATGGCTCAAAGGAGAAGAGCAAACCCGGACTGCTCATCGATGGCCAGTTAATCACCGACCAAGGCAAAGGAACTCATTCTTCACATCAGGTGTACTTGCAGGACTGCGACGTGGCCAACAATGTCTACACCATTTGGTCCTGGGCAGGTGTCCTATACCTGACCAAGCAGAATTTGATTGGAACGCCCGAGGCGAACTCGGAGAGGGTTCTTTGGCAGGTTTACTTGGCAGAGACGATATACATTTTTGATGACTGAGCATGATATGATTGAGCTGCCTTGGAATACAGAGGTAGATAGCCGGTGTCTCTCACAAACCAAAGCACAGTACATGGGAATGAACTCGAACATGCATGGACACTGCGCTCTCCACATGAGCATTGAAATTCATCAAAGCTCCACAATAGGGTGAGGCTCAATATGGAACCGGGTGTTTGAACTTTGTTCAAAAGCTTGTGATGTTAATTTGCAACTAGAGCGCAGACACCTGCTATAGGCAAGCCAATCTTTATCACCCATGTGGCCCATGCTCAACAAGGGTAAGCCCGAGGCAGATATGATTCCCTAGTTATTGGTGCCCATGACACGAGCGTAAATGTGACTTTGTTTGACATTTTCCCTCGGTTGTTGAATCAAGCTTGTCACCATGTTGTAGCCACTTCTGAACCAATGTTTCTGGAGGGTCGATTTGTGGAAACACAAAAGCTCCTTCAAACTCCAACTCCTCCAACTTTCCTGTGAGAGTTTGATAGGTTGCAATTAGAATAAATTAGACATTCTGTTGTTGAATGCCAGTCCTTTTGCAACGGGCCCAAGAGACCCTTGAGTTTTGGCAGTCACGTCTGCGGATGGCGACAGACGGTAAACTACAAGCCTTATCGCCAGTGAGTTTTGAACTTTTGAACACAGGACAAATAATGTCTTTTAGGTGTCCATATGTGTAGGTAGACAAACCAACCCCTTCGATCCACATGGTTCCTTGTTGCAGCAAGTACCAGAATATCAAGTTTCAAATTCCAATTGCTGCTTGTGTCAGCTTGAGCGTGATTTTCCTGTGAGGTTCTAATTGATTGCAGATCGAGCTTCTAGGCTCTTTGCGTTTGACCCTTGCAGCACGCTTCACATTCGCCAAAGTGCGAGTAATGGAGGGTGGTTAAAGTGATGGTGAGGGATGGCCAAACATGCCCGATGACCGACCCTCGCTGTCTAAACGAGGCCCTGACTTAAGGAGGATGGAACAGTAATGGAGGATTTGCGTGCAATTGCCCAGACGCAAAACCCGCTTGATCGAGTTGTAGCATCGGGTACCAATGTTGCAGTTCTGGGTGTCTATCAATGAAGCCAGCCAGGAATCCATGCCATCGAGCAAGTCCCTCGTGGTGACGAGGCGATTGTTGTGACCAACGCGGCGATTTGATTTAGACTGCAAGCTAAGCTCGGCATAGCTGACAGGGTTGAAAAGCCAGGGTATGCTTATGGCATGTCATGGCAGGGTCAACCGCCTGTGAATTTCCCGCCATGATCGGGCAACTAGACTATGACTTTCCTTTGGTCTCCTTTGCAACTATGACTGTTTTCTTTTGCGCTTGTTTTTAGGCCTTTGAATAGACTTTTCTTTTTTATTCCTTTATTTGATTTTGCTGTGGTAAACAGAGGCATTCCTGAGCGACAACAGCGACATCGCAGAAACTTTGAGCACTGGGGTTTGCCCCTGAGCCTTTGCTTCCCACCTTTAAAACTTTACTTGTGCTAGGAAGACTAATTGAACTTGGGAAGTGTATCCATTGAGTTCCAGCTGTTTCAGAGTGATTTGCTTCTCCAATTTGGCTTGAACAGATGGCTCTCCGTGATCGATGTGCTATTGTGGAAGATGCAGGCAGAATGCGACGCGTCAACAGCATCTAGTGCTTGCATTTTTGTTGGGGCTCCTGGCCTCACTACTAGGAACAAGGACGCTACTAGGGGCTCCTGGCATCGCTACTAGGAGCAAGGAGCTACTACTAGGAGCTGGGTAGCAATGCAGCCAAAGCTACTCATGAAACTCTCAAGCAACGAAGGCCGTGCTTGCGCCACTTCAGCTGAGCTTTTGGAGAGGAGCACTGCTCTTTCAGAAACTCCAGAAGCTTTCAATAAGTTTAGTTTGCTTTCAAGAAGTTTACTCTAGCAGAATGGAACACGCCTCAAGGATTGGGATACTGAAGGCAAAAGACACAAGTTTCTTCTGTGATTCAACAATGGACTCAATCATTTTTGGCCAGGATCACAGAGGCAACTGAGGCAGCTTTTGCTTTGCTTCCTACGGGTTTTGCAGCTTTCTTTGTTCAGCGTACTTTCGGGGAGGCAACGCTGAAGAAGGTTGAGACAGCTTCACCAGAAGCTAGTGAAGTGGCAGCCTATGGCAATCATCTGAGCTATGATCAAGAAGGAGCGGTTCTGGTGCTGGGCTTATGAGAGCTGTTGTCCTGATGTTTTCGAGTGATTTTGTCAGGGCAACGACTTACAACGCCTGGGAACGCGACTGTTGACTGAGAGTCTGGACCTCAGAGTCCTGCTGTTGAGCAAAAAGCAAAGACCGACCTATCAAAAGGTTTTGGCCATCCCTTTTCGATCTTGTAATATTCCTTTCAATAGCGTCCTTTTGTAGGAACAAGAAGCTACTAGGAGCAAAGGGCATCGCTACTAGGAACAAGGACGCTACTAGGGGCTCCTGGCCTTACTACTAGTAACTAGTAGCAAGAAGCCATTAGAAACAACATCGTCCTCTTTTTCCTTCTTTGATTTGTGAAAGCACATGTTTGAGGCTCCAAGGCTTCAGGCCGAGGCTTCACACATCGCTTGGCCCGAAGCTTTTCGGTGGCCCGCCGCACTGCGGAGGAGGCCATTTCATCAGCCAGTAAGGTGCGAACCTCTTTTTGTCAGAAGAAGATAGACAATAAGCAACTATTAACTATATAGAATTAACTAAAGGCATCAAGGCATCAAATAAACCTTGGGTTCAGCATTCAACATTGAATGAATCTTGTGGTTTCTCCCGGTCTTAGCTGCCTGGTTACTTACGTTTTGTGCGATCGAACCTTGCGTTTTAAAACTCACGTTTCCAGCCGTACGTTCCCACGTTTTGGAGCTCAGATGCGTTTTTGGAACTTCCTCATGCGTAAACAGAACAAGGCCATTGAAGACAGAAACATCCCAAATGCATTTTCAAGAACCAGAAAAATGCATCCAGTAGCACCCCATACCCAAATGCATTTCCAAGAGTGAGAGAAAAGCGTCCAGCAGTAGCCCATAGCTTCTGTATTGAAAGACGAACATATTTCCGCAAAGTGGACCTCCAGACCACACAGATGCATTTACCCGAGGACAGTAAATGCATATAGGTATTTGGATGGGGCCTGGATTTTGGGAGGGGGGCTGCACGTTTTGGATTACAGACGTGCGGAACCTTACGTTTTGCGTTTTGCGTACCGGGGCGCCTAAGCTCCCGGTGTCTCATGGTTTGGCTGCAGACCTTGGACCTTCACAAGGGCTTAATGATGTTGGATGCTGAAGCTCGAAAGGAGCAATCACAGTGACCGCACGTTTCAACACTTTTTTTTCACATGGAAAAGAAGTCATGTGTTTTTCTTGACCAGTGTTGGACTGATGTGTTGCACTGATGAGTGTCGAAACAGCTGCCATTAGGAGCGAGAGCGACTTCGAAAGCGCCAGCAATTCCCAGAGGACAAACCTATGCCTGCGAATGCTTGAAACTGAGCCATTGAAACGATTGGTGGTAGATGGTAAGCGTCTACGGGTGTATTAAAGCCTAAGTGATGCAGATCAATTGACAGCAACGTGCTGTACCTAGGATGTGGAACGGCCAACGGAGAAGACCAGCAGCAGCCCCTCGGAAAGAACAAACTAGTGTGTTGCTTGTTTGGAGGTGTTTGTCAGTACCCGTGGCTCGAACCGCCTGCCCTGTGAGCTCTAGTTGACCGACCATTTGCCAATGGTCTATGTTTGACGATGCTGCAGATATCGATCTGGAGAACCTTTGAAAGCATTGCAATCTTTGCAGTCAAAGCTGCCTCAGTTTGCTCCAGAGCTACGGCATCAGCGCCACTTGCTTTGTCCTCTATGCTGCAGCGGTACCTGTGGCACCAAGTTTGCTTGACACGTTTTGAGACTTCACATTTCGTCTCATTTATTAGGTTCTTATAGGTTGGAGGCCATCGCTCTTAGGTTGGAGGCCATTGTTATCGCTGTCCGTTTCAGAATCTTCGTCCAAATTGTCCTCATTCCTTTCTTGCTGCGGCTCAGCTTTTCTTTCACTAGGCGATGACGAGGTGGCAGCAGCCGCAGCCGAGCTTTTGGATCAGCTGGCAGAGCCAGACGCGACTTTTTCTGGTGGTCGTCGGACCTTTCACTATCGCGGCATCGAGGCACCCCGGCACGCTTCAAGTTTGATTGTTAGAGTTTAGAATTGGCAAGTTATTCTTGGTGTCCTCCAACCAGATGAAGGCAATGCCTTAAACTCATTCCAAGCGCCTTGGAGTTGTGCAGGTGGAGTATTGGGAACTCGACGAAGATCCTTGTGATCTGCTCTTCGGCTATGGTGCTTGGCCAGTGGCTGAATCTCTCTCAAAACTGCTCATCAATTCGACTTTGTCGGAGCATGATTCACAAGTTTTTCCATCAGTGCGGCAAACACGTACTCGAGATAGGAGTCTGGGTTGCAAGCATTCGGACAAATGTTGAGCGCTTTCAACTGCTATTATATATATATACATAGGTGAGACACGGATTTGCAGAAGGGTTTTCTTGAAGTGTTTATGGCCGCCACCCTCGCCGCTCAAGACAAAAACCCGGGCGGCGCGCGGTCGTGGCCCATGGGCTATCCCCTAGGCTACCGACTGGCCTTGGTTTGTCAGGTAGCCCTAGTGGGATTGGTTGGTGTTGACCTTTACTACACCCAGAGGCTGCAGGAAGACATCTCTCTGTTGCACTTTGGCCGAGCGATCCCGTGACCCTGAGGACGAGCCTCCCACTTCAGGTGGACAGCCTTGGACTTCGCGGCGAAAGCCGGAGGCAGAAGCCAAGGTGCTGGTGGGAGGCTTCGATCAGGGACAGTTGAGTTTGAGTCAGTTGTTGGCATTGCTGTTGAGTTTACTGGCTGGTCTCATTGTTGTTGGTTAGTGTGTGTGGGGGCGGCAGAGCTTAAAGGCATTGACAGAAGGAGGTGCTTCTCCTTTTCAAAGGCGTGATTTGGCACAGAGGCAGCTAGCAGAGTTGAGACTACGCCGGCGTGGCTTTGGTCAATAGACACATCCTTTTGGAGTACGATGTACCTGGACCCCGGCTTTGGCACGAACGCCTCGTGCTAAGTCATGTGGCCGGTGAGATCTACATCATAGCGACACCAGACCGTGATGTCTATGCTGAGGAGTTGGGACTGCTCAACCCCGACGTACGAACCCTCCATGTGAGACCTGCTGCAGGTATTCTGCCTGGAGATGTGAACGCGGCCGAGGTCTATCCCCTTCCGGCTTGGACTGCAAACGACCTGCATAATCTCAGGGAGGAGGGCCGACGAGTAGCCGATGAAGAGAGGCGGGCTATGGGCGGTGGAGGCGGTGCCTTGGCAGCCGCCGGTGCAGCTGTTGCGCCGGCAGTTGTTGGTGGGGCCCCTGTGAGCATCAAGATTGACCCCGACCCTGAAATGTCTGGCTGCAGAGACGATAGGATCCCACAAATTTGGACAAGAAGTCACTGGTGTACCCAACCCCCTTGCCAAGGACAGCAAGATTGTTCATGTTGGGGCGGATGGCGTCAGCGTTTTTGTTCAGTGTGTTGATGGGCAAGACTATTTTAGTCTTTTTGCAGCAGCCAGCCAAGTCAGATCCAAGGTACTACCAGTTGAGTTGAACCCCATTGGACAACCAGAGAGGACCTTGAAGGAGGTTGCATCCATGGGCTTTGAGACAAAGGTGAGGTGGGAGTTGGCGGGTCTTCGCACTAGCAAGTGGCGCGTCAACTACCTGGCCATCGAGAACCTGGGTTTCGAAGGCCACCGTGAAAGACTACGACAGGTCACAAGGGCTGATGCTAGCAGCTGGGGAATCCAGGAACATTTCCAGGTCAGCATGGCCCTTCGCCACACCCTCCTCGTGGACCAGCTCGACCCCTACAATTTGTTGAGCATTGAGATACAATTCAGGCGTCTCCAAACCATCGAATACTCCTACAGTGAAAAGGCAAAGGATTTGGAGGCAAAGGCCGTAGGAGGCCGGCTGAGTCTAGAAGAGCAGACCACGTGTGGGGGCATCGCACGACAATACAGTACATTGGTGATTTGTCCCCAGCTGTTGGGCCACGTCAAGATCGAGACTGAGAAGGAGCAGTGGATGCCCTCAACACTATGTATGGTAAGCCTGGGGGACCTCACAACAAGAGGTATGGCGGGTCGAGCAATGGGGCCATCAGTTCCGGCCAGGCTCATTTTTTGGAATTTGTTGAAGATGCATGCAGGGCTCCACCTCTGCTTTCTGGCCCAGAGGCCCTTGAGGAGCTTCGGGTTGCTGAGGGGTACGATGACTTGCCGACTTCGTGCCCCCTTGGATCCTTCAATCCTGACCTTGTCTCATTACCGTCTGAGGGTATGAATCCCGTGCCTTTGGAGAGCTTATGGGGTGAGGGCGGGCAACAAGAGGTGGATTGATTTCACCGTTCACCAGACGCTGGACATAGCAGAAGCTCACGAGCGTTTAGACCAATGCGGCCTGAACAAATGCTAGGAAGACCCGCAATTCAAAGATCGCAAGAAGTATGCAGGTTTCTTGAAGCGGCTGGACCTGGGGCTTATCACCCTGGGATTGGAGCCAGCGGTGGAGACAGTTGGCGTTTTCGAATTTTCTTTGTGAAGAAGAAAGGTGGCAAGCTGCGGATGATCCTGGACTGTAGACGGAGCAACTGCCATTTCACAACAATGAAGGACATCAAGCTGGCCACTGGTGAGAGCATGAGTCGCATGGAGTTGAGGCCGCAGGGCCAGTTGTACATTGCCAGCGCTGACCTTCAGAATGCTTTTTACACGATGGCCATGCCAGGTACACTTCAAAAGTTTTTTGGGCTTCGCAAAGTGCAAGCTGGAGAGCTGGGGGTGTCTGGAATTGCTAGCTCAGAGGTACAACCCACCTCATGGGTTTACACTCGCGTCGCAGTGATTCCAATGGGTGGTCTCATGCTATGTGGTGGCGCCAGAGGATGAGTGAACGGATCTGCGAGAGGTCCGGGCTGCTTCCTTCAGAGAGGCTGAGAGACGGTCAACCTCCCCCTTCTTCATGTCCAGTATGTCGACAACTTACACATTTTTGGCAACGACAAAGAGAGGTTTTGGAAAGCGGTCATAGCATTGCGGGCAGCCGGCCTGACAGTACATGAAATAGAAATGGCAGATGGGCCCAGCAAGGTTCTGGGTTGGGAGATCGAGGACGGTGGTTTCTTGGCTCCAGCGCTGAGCCGGTTGTGGCGTTGCAGGCTGGGCGTACGAGAGCTGCTGCGACGGGGCCGCGCAAGTGGCCAGCAACTGGAACGCTTGATCGGGCACATGACCTCCGTCTCACTTTGTCGGCGTGAGTCCCTTTCAGTTCTTGGGGATTGTTACACCTTCATCAAGCGCAACTTTACGCGCAGTACGAACCTGTGGAAAAGTGTTCGCAAAGAGCTTTGGCAGTGGGATGGTTTGGCGCCTCTTATACGGGTCAACATGAAGCTTGTTTGGGGGGACACCATCTATGCCGTCGACGCTTCGGATTGGACCAAAGTTTTCGCAGCAACTGGGTCGCTTTGTTGAGAGATGGAGGTTCAAGGAAGATGGATGCAACAACCCTCACACCTTTGTACAAGTTGAAGGGGAGCTTGAAGGTGTTCACCGCGCCCAAGATGAAGAACCAAACCCTGCCCTAAAGTTCAAGGGGGCGCCTTTCACCGCTGTGGACCGACAGTGGCAGGTTGTTGGACGAAAGCGCTGGCAGAGAGAGGAGACAATGCCTGTATACGAGGCCCGGGCCACCCAGTATGCTGTTAGACATATCTTGAGGAACCAAAAGAATTTTGGAAAGAAGTTCATTGTTCTCACGGATAGCGTGACAGCTGCTGTTTCTTTTGACGAGGGTCGCGCAGAGAGTTTTAGGCTCCAACGGGTCGTTCAGCAGACGGCTGCTTTGTGTTTGGGATCAGGGACTTTGTTCCGCTGCCCATGGGTACCCAGTGAGTGGAACCCCGCTGACGGGCCAAGCGGGGGAAGTTTTGCCCCGCGAGGCCGGTTCACAGATTTTGGGATGATACACAGACAGCTGGGCGTTACAGTGACATGGGACAAACCTTCGGAACGAAAGCGCAAAGCGCCCAACCTGCAACACAGACCTGCCAAGAGGGCCAAGCTGTTCGAGGCAAATGGGGTATGGACCAAGCCAAACCGAGTCAAGCCCTCCTCACTTGGGACATAGAACTCAGCAACGTGCCCGCAGAGAAAAGAAAGCAGAGAGCCAAGAGGCGCCAGCAGAAGACGCCAGAGCGGGGGATGGGAGTGCTCCGCAGTTCCTCAGTGGGGCACCTGGGTCGCAGGATTGCGCAGCAGACCGCGTGGCCAGTTTTGCTCTGGGACATTGCTTTTGGACCGGAATACGATCTGACCAGGCTCAAGACACACCCAGTTTGCGGCTTGATGTTTTTTAGCTGTGCAGTTCTCCCTTTTGCCATGGAAAACCCAGCTAGGTCGAGGATCTGGCTGCTCTGTCCCTCTGTGAAATGGCTGTTGAAAAGACGAAACGTGAGTTTTGAGACGGTTCATTACTGCGCTTTTGGAACTCGGTGGAAGAAGCCCACTTCCTTCCTGGGAACTCACTTGGACCTCTCTGTCTTGTCGCGTATGACACCAATGTCATAGCAGTCGACGAGGGTTCTGTCAGTTCAGCCACAAGCCACATTTGCCCCTGATGGGGCAGAATGACCATATGGTACACCAAGCTGGCCGAGCCTTATCCCAATCGGTTGACCAAAGTCGTTGCCGTGGCCTTCAACAACACCGAGCTCTCTCAGCTTTCGATGGCATGTCAAAGCCCTTGGTGAGGTTTTTTCTGTGAGAGGCGGCTACACCAGGAGTCCCAGAGGGCTCCAAGCAAAGTTGGGCAAGTTTGGGTGGAGGCGAGACTTGGTGGAAGGCTGCAGCTTTCAGCATGTTTTCACTAGCGCTTAGATGAGCGCTGGCCTGAAGCGAAAAGATGCGACAGAATGCATATATACAATATATTCTTCAAATCTGGTTTGTCGAGTGGGCAACGGGCAATTGCTCTTCACAATCACAACTCACAGTCTACAGGATCTATAAGCCCAGGCCAAGTGCTTGTTTGCAGTTCAACTCCCTTGCTTCAACGCTCCACGCATCGCAACACACCGCATGTTGCTGCAGGCGCCGGTGTGGCGCTGGTAGGGCTCACCTGCTGTGCTTGCGGGGCCAAAGTTCGGTTGACGGACGGGGAGAACCGCTTGGTCAAAGCTTTAGAGGACGCTCGCAGTCACTAAGGCATCAGACACGCTTTGTCAGACACCTGCAATCCCCAGCATGTGTGCGTGATTCGTGATGCATACATGTACATTTTCGCTTTTTGCATCGCGCTCGATTCCATTTATTGGTATCACTGGCAGCCTGAGGAGCATCATGGTCATCACAACGAGCTAAGCTTTGAGGTCCTGGATTGGAACGTGGATCAAGGCTCATGGCTGCAGTTCCACCAAGACCTTTGATGTGTTTATGTATTCACACTTGCATGTAGCTTGCGCGTGCAAGTTTTATGTTCACAAAAGTCACCAAAATGTCCCATTTTGGCTCAAGTGATTGGCAGTCTGCAATTCTGTGAAAAAGCATTCTCCCCATCTGTTCACACAATGGCTTCGCCGACTGAAATAGGATTTGCTGTGGCGGATGTTTTTGATGGAGCGGTCGTTGAGGGAGAGACCGTGGACGCTGACACAGTCCCCAGCCCGGGGATGGATGCACACAACGAGGAGGCGGACGTGGCCTCCAACCTCGTTACCAGAGCGGAAGAGGATGCTGCTGCGGCAGACTGGCCGCCCACACGCAGGAGCTGGACCTGAAGGTGCTGGAGCCTCTGGGCGGGCGAAGGTACAGCAGGACACCGCCGCCGCGGTGATGGCCCAATGGCCATTGGTCGTGGCGCCGAGATCCCTGACGGCGCCATCCTTCATGATGGAGTCGTTGGACTTGCTGGAAGAGACGGGGCCGGGATTACACAGGTGGGATACGCGCCAGGCGATGCCTGTCAAGCCGGCTGCTCCCGTCCTTCTCTAAACAACGGCAAGAGACACCTCAGCGCCCACTGAAGCGTCCGGCCCTGGGCCCCATGGTGGCCCAGCCCATCCGGTGCAAGCCAGCAGCTGATGAGCTGGACGTGGGAGTCCTACTGACCCTCTCCTGCTGGCCCTGTCCAGGCGCCAGGCGGCCCTGGGGGGCCAGGAAGGGTGGATCAGGCATGGGTGAGAGACTCTGCCTGACACACCCTGATTTTGAACTCAACTCGACAGGGGTCAGAAGACCCATGCACAACTCCAAGCTCCTGAGAGAAAGAGGTTCTGCAGATCGTTTTGGAGCTTCGTTGGGGGAGTTTTGCTTTTGCATGTGTGGTTTTGCCCGCTGTTGCAATTCACTGCGAGTAAAGATAAGAATATTCCAACTTCGGAAAATCAGGCTGTGTTGCTGTTTTTCACTTTCAGTGCTGTGAGGCGTGGAGCAATTTGATGTCATCGTGGCCTCGGATGTGTTGCTTTGTTGCTGTGGTGCTCCAGAGGCGCTGCCAGCAGTCCTCTCCAGACGCCTCAAGCTGGATGGCAAGGCTTTGCTGTTGAACGCGCTTCGCGGTGCACGCGCGCAGCTGCTGCTTGGAGACAATGTCTTTTGGAAATGTCGAATTGGCAGCGCTACTCTTGCAATGCTGTTCCCTCGACTTGCTATTTTCAGACGATGCTGTTGATGCTATTCTTGTTCTACGACGCCATACTATTTTCAGAATATATATTATATAATGCAGAATCCGTCTATTTCAAGTTCCACTTGTAATGCTGTAATGCCTGCGTGAAAGCCTGGTAAGGATTGCCATTTCATTACTTCAACGACACGGTTTTTTGGTTTCGATTTTTGCCGTGGCCTCGTTGGACATGTTACCGCTTTCGACGGAGCAGATCTCTAAGTTGCCAGATGCAGCGCATGTTTTGCTTGTTGTGACGTGGGCAGATAGGAACAAATGCCTCTACCAGCCTCTACCACTTGAGAGCTGATCAGCAGCACATCAAATGTCAGTTCGTGTACCAAGCGTTTGCCAGAGGGCGTCTTCAAGCTAGTGGCAAATGTTTTGGCGTTTCTTTCGCAGCAATTTGGAACACTTGTTGGTGCGATCACTCAACAATGAGCAAGACCGCGGATCAAGCAGTGAGGGTCTTTCAGCTGGAGTTTTGGCTCTCGACTCTCCACACTTATTCGTGGGTGGCTGCCGCAACCATCGACAAAGAATGTGCACCTTGGTGAGGTGCGCATGTTGCATCTCTTTGAGCATCTTTACTTGGAACTTGTGTTTGCCTACAGACAGAGAGATGTGAGTCATCCAAGTTAGGGGTGCACGATGGTTGTCATATTGTCATGCAGATTGGCGCAAGCGTGCCGAGTTCAAGAGAGGTCGGTGCCTTCATAATGATGGCTGCCGGCTGCCTGTCTTGCGCACTTGGACGCTTCGGTGGAGACAAAGACCGCTTGCGCCCAAAGAACTTAACATACCTGTACAGATGTGTCATTACGATCAAACATGTAGCTCATCAATAAGCTCATTAAAGCCGCGAGATAGATCACACAAAGTTGGAGGTGCTAAGGATCCCGAACATGTCATGGCACCGTTTGTTGCCCCTGAAGGCAACAGTTTTGATGAACGTGTGGTGTATGTTATTGTCTCGTTGGGTGCACCGCCGGCTTTTCGGGATTTGAGCGTGGGAGAGGATTTTGATCGAAGTTCAAAGCAGAACGGCTTAACCGTGAAGCTTTCATCTGACTCAGTCAGATAGACTCAGGGTACTGATATTTGACGAATACCGGGGTTTTGGACCTCAAAGGCCCTCTGTGACTTGGCTAGCGCTTACTTGAGGTTCCGCAAGCCAGAAGGAGCGAAAGGAGTCCAAGAGGCCTCAGGAACTGCCAAGGAGCCCAACACAGAGCTGAGCACAGCATCGCTTTCAGAATTTTCAACTGCTCTAGGACGCAATCTCGACCTGTGACTCCGGCACTTCAAACGCCCAGGGATCAGTTGAAATCTGCTGCCAGGCGTGTCAAGGCTTGGACTGAGATGGGCGGGTGGAACGCTTCTTCTGATGCACAAGTGAGGGTTCTTCAAGGAAGCTACTAGTTGGGCCCAAAAAACCAACACCTACTAGTAGCTTTGTGGCCCAACTTACTTGAGTGTCAGAGCCTTTGACTGAAAGAGAACACCGAACACCTTTGGAGTTGCGGCAGGAACGTCACGTGTCGTTGCGGGTGAAGAACTTGCGATTCCTGGCAAGCTTGAATGAAGAAGCTCTGCGCTCACAGGCAAGGTGTTTGGACAAGGATGGACAAGGCAAGAAAAGAAACCAGGATAGAGGTGGAGGATAGTATCAAAAAGAAAGCTGACAAGCTGAAGCGAGAAGAATCAAAAGAGAGAAAGCCTAGAAGGGAAAAGAAAGGAACAGGAGGGAAGAAGGAGTGAAGGTAGACGAGACAAGATGCATTCTTGAGGCTCGGCTTTGTGCGCTACTCGAGCGCAGTGAGGGAGCCTTGCTGCCAGAGGCTAGCAGAGTGACAAAGTAACCAGTCTTTGGTGCTCAGAAGGGAAGACTTTTGTGTTCAAAGACAATTCCACAGTTTAAGTTTAAGTATGTTTAAGTCTAAGCCTTACCACTACTACCGGTCCAGACATGTCCCTGTCAATTTGATTGAAAGTTCAATTCAATGTCTCTAAATGGTCTAGCTGATGACAAGAAGTTGATGCGGATTGACCAGCTTCATACGGTGCTCAGCTTGTGCACATTGCCAAACTTGCCCTGAGATCTCAGTGTCCCAGAAGGGGGTCATCTTCGATTTGGTCGCCCAGCTTCTGGATTTCGCTTTGGCAGAGCCCGAACCCAAGAGCTTCGTGAACAAAGAAGCAGCAGCTTGACTCCATAGCTACTTTGCGCACGCTTTTCTTCGTCCACCAAGGGCGAGCAAACATGCATCAAACTTGTCTACAGCCCCTGTGTGTCTGGCCTGTCTTGAAGTGCAAAAATGAGAGGAACGCAAAAACACAAAATTGTGGTGTCGACACAAGTTGGAACGATATTGTAGACTTTTGCCGACTTGTAGAATGGCCGCGCCGCTTTCTATATTTTGAAAGAACTCCGCAACGTGCAGTATAAAGGAGGAATTTAACCTGCTAAAGCAGGCTATAGGCAAAAGGTATGACAAAAGATTTCAACTAAATCGCGAACGCATGCAGTTGGAGTATGACGTGTTTGGGTTGCTGAGCATGTCATTTCTGCGGCGAGGCCCGCATTCTGGAGCGAGTTATGTCGTTTGCCCTGGCGTTGGAGCATGGCAAGGCCGGGTTTTGTAACGTCTGCCTGTCGTTGTCCTTGCGGAACATCCCACCACTCTGTTCACGAGGAGCTCGCCATGCCGGTGGACTCTCGGACACAGGCAGAGTTCAATCTTTCCTTATGGTTAAAAGGAGTTTTTTTTTTGGTGTTTTTTACCCGAAAGCATTGCGAAGGGTTCTTCCGGAAAATCTCTTGAACACTGACACTTCTACACTTACACTTACACACTGACACTTCTACACTTGCATTGAACACTGACACTTCTACACTTACACTTGAACACTTACGCTTCCACACTTACACTTGAACACTTACACTTCTATACGCACAATGGCGCAGAAGTATCCAAGTGTGTACGTGTGAGTATCCCAGTGTAAGTGTAAGAGTGAAAGCATCCAAGGGCAAGTATGCAAGTGTAAGTATCCAAGTGCAAAAGTATGCAAGTGTAATGCAAGTGTAAGTATCCCAGTGCAATCCCAGTGCAAGTATGCAAGTGTGAGTATGGAAAACTTTCACGGGAGATGTCCTAATGAAAAACATTTCCCCACTTTGCGAATTCTCTTTAAAGGCGGAGGGTGGGACGAACAGCGTCAACCGAAAATGCAACCCTCTGCGGAGATCGTGCGTATCGAGGGCACGAAATGCAGACGAGAGTGGCGAGAGTGCGATTTGTCCCGGTCCGGGACAACCCTCTGCGGGGATCGTGCGTGTCGAGTGTGCGAAATGCAGGCGAGAGTGCGAGTTGTCCCGGTCGCGGGCAACCCTCTGCGGAGATCGAGTGCGAGTTGTCCCGGTCGCGGGCAACCCTCTGCGGAGATCGTGCGTGTCGAGTGCGCGAAATGCAGGCGAGAGTGCGATTTGTCCGGTGCGCGCGCAACCCTCTGCGGAGATCGTGCGTGTCGAGTGCGCGAAATGCAGACGAGAGTGCGATTTGTGCCCTGCGCGCGCAACCCTCTGCGGAGATTGCGCGGGTCGAGTGCGGAAACTGGGATCCGGTGCCTCGCAGCCAGTCACTTGTAAGCATACCTGGTCATCACTCCTCTCACACAGCCGCCGTGCCATGCGCCCACTGGCTTGGGAGGCGTGGGTCGCGGAGGCCAAAGTCTGGTTGCGCCTACATCCGCGCGAGGACCATCGTGGAGTGCCACGCGAGGAGCGCCAGCGCTCCTTTCCCAAGAGGGCGGCGTTTGCGCTGGTCACTGCGGCTGAAAACTTACCTGGGCGAGACCTCGGGGCCCAACCATGCGAACTTTGCGGGCAGTGGACGCATTCTTGGTGCGAAGCTTGTTCTCAACGCCGTTTGCACCCTGTGCGATGCCGATCACCTTGTATGTCGACCATGTCAGCGTCTTGGGCGGTCGTGGGAAGCGGCCCGCGCTGCGAATACCACACCGCCCGATTGCATCGAACTCAGCGGCTACCACTACCAGACTGGCAGGTTTGTTCAGGTGGACCCACTGCTCCGCATCCCACTGGCGGATGTGTCGACAGATGGCACCGATGCCGCCCAGTTGGCCCAGATGGCCGCCGCGGTGTCTCCGGAGGGGACAACGCAGTGAGAGTCTCCCCGACGCAGTGTGTAATCTAGATGTTCACATGGTAACCAACTGCGTGTCTCATACCACGACTTCTTCCTCACGACTCACAACTCCTGTGTGGACGTCGTTCTGCGGAAGCGCAACAAGTACTAGACATAATGTCGGGGACTCTGTTCCGTATACAAGGGCTGGTCGCGAGCTGAGCAGAGGGAGCGCGCGAAAACATATGCAATGGGTGCTGCGTGTCACCTCCAGCTAGTTGGGCGCGTTTTTGTCTGGGAGAGGCGATTAGAAAATGACCAGCGCAGTGGTTGTTAACTACATCTAGAGCGAAGCAAATGTCACCTTTAGAGCATCTGTGCAAACAGACTGTGCATTTTGCGTGGCTGACCTTTCGGTGCTCACAGTGAGATTGCAGAAGTCTCCATACAACTTGGGCCAGCTACCGCCATATCTTAGCCAGGAACCAAAGCAACTCAACAGCAATGAAGAATATACTTGCAAGAAGTTTCAACGCACCCCACAAGCTTTCGCAATATTCATTTCCGACATGAACCTTGACAAGGCAAACAGAGCCTTCTTATGGCTATGCGTGTGCTGAGCCTCATTGACCAATGCTGAAAAAAATTTACCAATTTGCAGCCCACTTGCTCGTAGGTCTGCCTCTTTTCCCAGCCATCATGCCAGGGAACCTTGGCATTGTTGACGACCACTTCTTCATCGTCGCCCATGATGACCAGAGACAGGTGTGCCTCTGTTGGTCCCATGGAAGCAGGACATACCATGACAACCAGCCAGAGCTCATCCATGAAAGATGGCCAAACCAGTCCATAGAAACCAGAGACTGGGTTGCCCATGGAGAAACCTGGCAGTTTTGGCCAGTGGTCAGGTGGTCCAATGGATGGGAAGACTGGGCGAGGAACAACAGCCGCAACTTCACAGATGCCTACACCGTCCAGATCTGCTTCGGGTCGACGCGCTAGACCCAGACCAGGCTGGTAAAGACCCTGCTGCCTAACTAGGCAAAGACCCTGAATGGAGGAACTGCGTGTTTCATACCGTGACTTCTTCCAAACACCTCCTGTGTGGACGTCGTTCTGCGGAAGCGCAACCAGGCGGTTACTAGGCATAAACGATCTTTTCTGTGTACAAAAGCTAGTCGCGAGCTGAGCAGAGAGAGTACGCTAAAACATATGCAGTGGCTGCGGTGTGTCACCTCATGCTACTTTGTCACGTTTTTCTTTGAGACAGTCAATTAGACAATGACAAGCATAGTGGTTGGTTAACTGCACCCTAGAGAAGCTGTGTCCTAGAGTGAAGGAAACGTTACCTCTGATCGTATCGACGGACGCATCTCCTCTGACAGGTCACTGCTTCGACAAACTTGTTGCGTAGCTGCCTCAGCAATTTTCTATTTTCATTCCAGCTCGCTTTTTTCGGTGAGATTTCCTGGAGGCGTGAACGCTGCTTCTCAAGGAATGGACACTCTGAAGTGGATGTAACGTCTCAGCGAGGGTCGGGCTCCCAGACAGAAGAGCTGTGTGCTTTACTATTTCCCTTTACCAGCAGCTCAAATGCTCTCGAAGATGAGCTGAGCTGTCACCGCTTGGCCGCCGGTGGGGGGTTTGGGAGGCCTGCGCGCTACTTCGTTCACTATATCCACAGTGAAGAACTTCACCCTGACCTGTCACCGCTTGGCCGCCGTTGGGGGGTTTGGGAGGCCTGCGCGCTACTTGGTTCACTATATCTCGAGTGAAGACCTTCACCATTTCCCCTTACCAGCAGCAGACATAGACACACACACAGACAGGGACTCATACACACACATCACACACAGAGACCCACGCACTGCCTCAACTTACTCGGACACACACACAGACAGGGACACACACACGCAGACATAGATACACGCGCGCAGAGACCCACACACTGCCTCAACTCACTCGACTTAACACTTCACACTGAACACTTAACGCGTAACTCACACTCTGACTTCCTACGTGATGAAAGTTGCTTTCGGGCCACTCGTCGTCTAGTGTGTCTTTTTGTTCTATTTTTGGAATTATTTTTGTCTTTTGGTGGCTTCAGTGGCTTTTGGCTTTCGTGGCTTCTGTGGCTTTTGTGGCTTTTGGCTTTTGTGGCTTCTGTGGCTTTTGTGGCTTTCGTGGCTTTGGTGGCTTCCGTGGCTTCTGTGGCTTTTGTGGCTTTTGGCTTTCGTGGCTTTCGTTGCTTCCGTGGCTCTTGGCTTTCGTGGCTTCTGTGGCTTTCGTGGCTTTTGGCTTTGGTGGCTTTCGTGG